CTACTTTTTTACTTTTGATATGTTATTTGTTTATAGCGCTGCAATTGTTACACTGCCACTGCATGTATATGCAAATACACTGCCAAATGAATCCTAAATTTTTTGATACACTGCCACTGCATGTGTGTGCAAATACACTGCCAAAATTGGGCAGTGAGCTCAGCACATACATTTAGTGTGCATCAAAAATTTTTATTTTGAAAAAAGATATAATGTAACAAACTTTTTAAAGAGTTGAAAGTTTTTTAATCAAATTCAAATGTCGTGAATGCACACTTATGATTTCATGCAGTCTGTGGTTATGATTAACTGTGGGCATGTGGTGTTTTTAATAATATAAAAGCGTACTTGCGTATCTGAAAAAGGGTGAATTGTCTACTCGAACAGCACGAAGAGTCCACGAGCAACGATCATCAAAACAAACAACGTGCAAACATGACTTGTTTGACCTCTTTGTCCTATATTGAAAGCTATTAGACACGGCATACATTTGTAGATGTTTGCATAAATCATTCTTTGACATAAGCCCTGAGTAAACCAACATTCTCCGGGGTGCCTTCGACCGCATAGGGTGCAGATCGAGTACCGATATCCACTCTTACTCGGGTTCTTCCCGCTTTCCTGTGTAGGCACTGGTGACGGGGCATGTGTTGACTTGGTCTTCTTGCTTGTGTGCGGGCTTCTTGGCACGGAGGGAGACCCATTGCTGCTTGAGCTAGGCGGAGGTGGACGAGGATGCGTCGTCTGGGCCTGCTCGTACTCGGCCTTCTTGATGAGGGCTGCATTCATGTCCAACGCATGCTTGAACAATGCATTGATGTCAACCCGAGGAGCAGTGATCAGATGGGCTGATAAGTCGGGGCGTAGACCCTCCACGAAGCGCTTGCACCGCTTCTCCATGGTTGGGACGAGGTCTTGCCCAAATCCTGCGAGCTCGTCAAACTTTTGACGATACTCAGGTAGTGTGAGTTCGCCCTGGGTGAATTTCAAGAACTCCTCTCGCTTCGCCTCGACGAAGTGCTCTGGAATGTACTCTTCATGGAAGAGTCGATCGAATGTGGGCCACTGCACGGGCTCAGGGACGTCTGCTCCCACGCGTTTTTACCAGTCGTAGGCGGAATCCTGAAGTAATGCGACTGCGAGGTCGCCGCGCTGATCTTGTGGAACCCTAAGGTTTCCCAAAACTCGTACGATTCGCTCAAACCATTATTTAGCGATCATGGGGTCGGCGATCTGGTCGCCTAAGAATTCCTCAGCTCCGTTCTTCCGGAGCTTCTCGATGGTGACCACAGCCACCGGTGGTGGCGGTGGTGGCGGAGGTGGAACATATGTGCCAGCCAACTGCTGGAGGAAGTTCATGAAGTTAGCCGCGAACTGCGGCTGATTGATGAGTACCACTTCCGGAACAGGACCCGCGCCCGGGGCTGCCTGCTCTGGGACCTGCTGGGGTGTGAAGCTCGATGCTTCCGTGTGCACGCTCACGTGCTCAGGCCCCTCATGTGGGACAACCTGTCCATCGTTGCCTGCTGCTTGACTCATTCTCTATGGAAATAACTTAAATGAGAACTAATTACAATATGTCATACATGCGATTAAAATAACGTTGTACCTTTCCCTGGGAGTGATGTGAAGAGAGATGCGGCTGTGGACTTTTTGAATATACTCTTTGACCAAGATGACAAAATATGTTTTTTTTGTTGTTTTTTTTTCACAAAATCGAACTCTCTGATACCAAATTGTAACACCCGCCTTCCGTGGACCCGGTTCATCGCGACTCAACGGACCGGTAGGGTTACATGGGCGGTCCGAGAACCGTCCGTAGAGGAAAATGCATTAATGACTATTTATTATGGAAACGGTTGAGTTTAATTGGTGAAATAAATGCTAGGGAATTAATTTCAAAACATGTGTGATTTAAATGCAGAGTAAAAGCGGAAGTAAATTGATAAGTCCAAAATAAATAAAACGACATATGGTGGGTTCATGCCCAAATGATTAATTAATTAAATGTATTTAATTATTGAACTTGTCCATGCGCCGCCCATCTTCCCACCATCACTGTCCTCTAGGGTTAGCACCTGTACCGTCATGTCTACCTGCGTGTAGCAAAAACAACTACACGCTCAGCAAAAGCTGAGGAGTGAATTTAACAAAAGAACGTGAAGTGATAACCCATATGGTTATACACATATAAATACCTGTACTTAACGTACGGAAAACCACATGTTTGCTAACTGATTAATTT